CAGCACTGATCACGTCACTAGTCATAAGGAATCTCACGGATTGGTTCCCTGACTACCTTAAAAACCCAATCAACCTACTTACTTACTCACTTGGCCTGACGAAGCTTTTGTGTCAAAAGCGAAACGTTGCCCAGCAATAAATCCACCGATTGTTTACCATACCCCTCTGAAACGATGACTTCCCAATCGGTCCCAAACATTTTTCAATTGATTGTAATTCAGTTTATTGTTGTGCAAGAAAGCCGTTTAAACAAACCAGAAGATCGAGTAGAGCACGAAAAACATATAATAGCAGACATCCTTTTGAGCAGTGTTAGAACTAGCTTTTTGGAACGATTCAAAGCCTATATACAACACTCATACTGTTTGACAGAGCAATCGGGTTAGGGCAAAGCCGCTCATTATCCAGTCTTTTGAGAGCATCCAAAAACGCATTTCCAAGTTTACAATCTTGTACACCTTAAGTGTTCCCAATGGTTATCAATGAGTCCCGGATCAGGACCGTAACTAGGGCAGTTTAATGGCTTCTGCCAAAGAAGAAAGCTAGTTCCTTGTGAACTAAGATCCAGTCAGCACATCGAAGTGCTGAATGACATCCAGCATTGCTTATTCACTCATTCTGAAGGCTGGAGAGGCTGAAGCCATACAGACTTCTTGTCGGACTTCTTGTTCTCTAAACCAACCCAACCGAGCTTAGTTTCTTTTCGTCATCAACAGTGGTGAAATTTGATTGGTTATTCCAGGTGCCGCAACTGTCCGCCTATGCCAAGTAGTTTCGAATCCGATTTTATATTTGGACATTTTCTTCTAGTCTGGAAATTGTATATCCTTGAGCGCGTGATGACGTTCCGTAGACACCATGTAGTGTCCTCATCTCTGATGCACGTGTAGTTTACTTAGAAGCGGTATGAGCCAGCCACTGTTCCCCTCCCCTCTATTCCGAAAGAATTATATCCTTTCTGCTTCTTCATAGTGTAGGCATTTTTACTTTTGTCCACGTTATCTAAGGTGAGCTTCACGAATACTGAGGTTTTCCATGTAGCAAACACTCAAGTTCCAAGTGATATGTTACCTTTGAGTCTAAATTCGACGATCTGAGTGGTCGTATAACTCTGGAGAGTCGAGCCCCTCGTGACCCGACTCTGGCGCTGACGGCTGGCACAAGGACAATGGAATATCGTTTCCTAACTGCCAGTGCATGATAAACTCAATGCGACCAGTGATCAGTGGCGTGGCGAACATGCCAGATGGACTGGTACGCCACACGCATCTGACTATCAGCGTGGTGCCAGCAATCACAACATGGATCAAAAGAGATTGCTCTGGGGACAAACGATCTGACGGTGCCATTTCAAACTACCCATCGCTACATCTCTCGTTGCCTGTTGATTTGTAAGACCCAACGTTGAATGTCTTAGATTTTTCGCAATATTTTCGGAAAAGAAGAGTTTGCGCGTTTGCCCATCCTCAGGGAAAGGAGGCCTTCGCAATACATTTTACTTTAATCGTCCTAGTTGTATTCAAGTTCGTAACTCTAAACATGTGGCTACCAAAAAAGTCAGGGTCACACATTAATTTCGTCGCGGGTCCTCCGAGTAGCCTTGCGTCGACCTGTCACTTCCCAATGCGATCGGAAAAGCGGTTGAGGAGCAGTCCAATCTAACATTTTGTTCTAATGTGATTCACCCACCGAGGCTCAAGGTCGAACGATCGGCTGATGTGACCAATCACGTGGTAGTGCACCCCGCAACCGACTGTTTAGTGTTATCGGATTCTGTTGGAAGTGGAGTCTAGTTTTCCGGAGTATTTTTAACTACTATTTCGTGAAAAACCATTAAAAGTGATCTGGTCATGTACGGAGTGCTCGAAATTATACACGCCTTTCTGAAAAAAACTCTGATGATGGTTCCGATTCACCGTTACTTTCTTCTGAGGTTTGTGATTCGTGGTCATTCGGACAACGACGCTTATCATGTTCTAACGAATTGTCGCCTTTGGGTGTGAATGACGGGAGAAGTAGCTGTGTAGCTTCCTTGAGGGAAACTACAAATGGGTTTGTGTACACGTATTACACTACTCATAAGGTTGCTGAAATCTCTTCGACAGCCAACGACCGGTTTCGCCCTTCTTGAAGCTCATCAGGTGGGCGCAGTCCACAAGTTTCCGTCAATCTTATGTTCTAATTGGACAGGTTATGACAAGCACACTCATTTGCATATAATTTTGCTTTTCATGGGGTGACTCAGATGAAGCTGCACAAAGGTCGTCCCATATTTCAACTGGTATAATGGTCGTGAAAACCAACTCGATGCGTGAATCAGTGTAATTCGCGAACTTGGTACGAGTTGGGTTGACGGAAACTCGGGGAATGCATCTACGTGATGAGCCCCAAGATGAGCGAAACCGCTCGTGGACTGTCGAAGAGTTTTCGGTAATCTTACGAGTAGCGTGCCGGACACTTACAATAAGGACAACCCCAGTTCCGAAATACTCGGCAAGCACCTCTATCCAGAGGCTGGCTATCGACAAGATCCAGTCAAATAGCCTCCAAACCTACGAGCTCCTCTTGTAAATGTCATCCTGAATTGTTTTTATCGGGAAGGTGATTACAACCCAAAAATGGTTCACTATAGACAGATGCACCATCATAGATCATTTTGACCCTAATTTTGCTCTCTGAACTTGTTTGTGCTAGGTGAATACCGGACAGTACTAGTGTAGACGTAATACACCAATAATAAGGTTACTGAAATTTCTTCGACAGCCCCCAACCGTTTCGCCCTTGTGTTTCGGACTCATCAGGTAGGCACAGTTCCCGAGTTCCCGTCAACCTTGTGTTCTACTTGAACCCAAATTGCACGAAATTAGCGAAATAGGCTCATTTGCAAACAAATTTGGCCCTTCGAGAGACTCACCTGCAACCCAGCTGAATCTATCGTTTGTGATGCTTCCATAAACGAGAATTCCAGGTAAGTTCCCCGCAAAACCAATTTTTTTGCGAATGGGTGTATTTCGCCGGACATTTCTGTTTTTTCCTGGCTGTGTGAAAGGAACGTTTGTATCACGTGAGCTTCTCCTCCTGAGATGTTTACTGTTTTACTTCGGGAGAACCTCACACAATGTCGACAGAATGCGGCAAACCTCAAAGTCACAGGCACCTGACAGGCTTGAGGCTACCCAAACTGGCATATGGTTCGACTGATGTACAACGTTCCGCACCTGAGTATCTTGGCTCATAAAACTATTTGTGCTCCAGAGTGAGATTTAGGCTGCACAAACCTTAGGGGTAATTTTCAACCCAGTCTTGGAGATAGTAATGTGTATTTTTCAAATATTCCGACCCCCCCCGTTTCCACCTTTTTCTAGCGGCAGGAGTATTTCCACGGAAGTAGGATTGTGTATTTCGACGGACTGTCGAAAAAAACGCATTCGGTTAGTGAATAGGCTGAATTTCACCTCGTTAGACACAAAAACTGGCTATCGTGTATAACTGACCCCACAGACTGTTTGAACTGGTTCGTTCTGACAGTTCGTTTAGCTAAACTGTTGACACACCACTAATTTATCTGCATGCAAATGACATTGGATAAGCTCTGGCATTGAAAATTACCTGAAAACATTTTGTGCGCAAATAAATACGAAAGGTTATTTATGGTCACACATTTATTAAAAAAATACTTGCAGTTATGCATACACATATATTTAACATTACTATAACCTTACTGTGCATTTCGATGGGGAGTTATCACACAAACTAGCAAGGAATACCTGTAACGCCTGAAAACACGGGCGGTACAAATAAACATATATATA